CTTCCATAAAAAATGGCAAGAAATAGAATCATGGAGAACATTAAAGATTAAAGCTAAATATTAAGACAAATCAGTAATTTCAATGTGTGGACCTTATCTGCACCTTGACTCAAACAAGATCATGACATTTATGAGACACTTAGAAATTTGAACAAAAGGTAGACTCTGATGACATTATGGAATTATCTTTTTTTTCAAGTATAATAATGGCATCATGGTATGTCAAGCATACTAAAATATTTATGAATAAAGTGTCTAGGAGTTATTTCAAAATAATACAGGAGGGGAAAAACAGGTGTACACATGACACAAGATATGCCATGGACAGTGGGTACATGGGAATGTCATTTATCTGTTGTTTAATTTTTATATGTGCTTGAAATTTCTGTAATACAATTTTTAAAAAGCAAACTCTGCATAACCACACTTGACTTGAAAATTTGCAAATCATGTAGTGATTCACTTACTTGGTTTCTGTTCTAATGACAGCCCCTCAGAAAGGCCTCCCTCCTAATGCCCTTAACACTTTCCATTCCCCTATGCTTTGTTAAGACACTTAATCATAAATTGGTTATTTACACACTGCCTCCCCCTATTAGACTATAAGCTCCATTTTGTTCACTACAATATTATATTATCTATACCTGGAATAATGCCTGGCACATACCAAGCATTCAAAAAGTACTTGTTTAACCAATAATTTTTTTCTTAAAGGTTAAGCATGTAACTCTGTGGTGATGGATGTTAACTAAACTAGATCATTACAGAAGATATACACGTATCATTATATTGTATACTTAAAACTAGTATGTTATATGTCAATTATATCTCAATTTTTTAAAAAAGTTTTTATTTTAATTCCAGTTAGATTTTTTTGATGGGAAAAAAAGTTTAAGCTGCTAGCATACATTCTAATAAATGGCAAAGCCAGGATTAAAACTCAGATATTTGTGTGGATTTAAGTTTTCAACTCATTTGGGTAAATACCAAGGAGCACAACTGCTGGATCATAAGAAAATGTCTTTTTTTTTTTTTTTAAAGATTTTATTTATTTATTTGACAGAGAGAGAGAGCGAGAGCAGGAACACAAGCAGGGGGAGTGGGAGACGGAGAAGCAGGCTTCCT